GGAGTGGGGCGCAATATTTTAAAAAAAACAATACAAAATAAATAAAAACGACTAAAAATAAACCCTGCGAAATAATAGCGGCAGCCCCCTTTCCTGCTGCTTCGCTCCGTTCACAAGCGAGGGCGACGCCAGCGCAGCCGTAGTCTCAGGCTGCCCGGTCAGTGCGTGCAGCCCGACCAAGACGGAACAGGCGCATGCGCCCAGGACGGCAACCCAACAAAAGAGAGACGCCAACGGCGTTTGCTCGAGGCTCTCAGCGGTGCATGCGGCATCCCCCATTGGAGCGGCACGCCAACCAAAAACGATGGCACCCAAAAAACAAAAGAGAAAAACACCACGCCAAGACGCAAAAGCAATCACAATAATTCGGTTTGCCCCTGACCTCTGGGCTGTGGTAGGCGCCGCATTTGCTTTCCCGCCTGTGAGCCCACTCAGCATGCAAAACTTACCCTCTCGCCCAAACTCTCTGCAGCAACAAACTGGGAACAGCGAGGAGATACCACCAATGGAATACTGCCGGCGTACACCCACAAGGTGCCATCATTCCCCACACAATTTTACTCGCAACCACAACACAAAAGGTGCTGCTGTGGTAGCGCTGGTCATAATAATCATTTGGCGCACGACAGAGCGAGTCCCTAATTACGCCTCCTACCCATACACAAACACACTCGGCAATATATCTTACTCCCTAAAATACTTCACCAGTAAACTCAAGCTGTTTATTCCCCTCCTCCTTTTCCTTCTCCCTCTGGTTGCCGCCCACGTTGGGTTTGTCGTTCACTTCTGAAATTCTCAGCTGATACCGCTACCTCGCACTGACGCACCTGCTGATTCCAAAATGCCGCAATGGCCTGAGGGTCCCCACGCTCATTGCTGCCCGTTGCATTTGCGTGCGCGACGACAACACACCCCTGCCACGTGTTTATTGCCGTACTGTCCTCATGATGCACGTAAATAATCTCCCACGACAAGCCTTCCGCAAAAGTTTCCCAGTCATTAAAATAACTCCGTGGAAGATCGTTGAACCGCCTCACCGTGCTGGTTTTGGTGCCATGCTCAGCCCTCGCCGTCTCACCTGCACCGCAACCATCGTCCTCCGCGGTGCACCAACGAAGAAAAAGCCGTCCACAAGCGGAAAAGTTCTGCTCTTCGGTACGTATTTAATGCAACGGGTCTGCGTGGATGCTTTTCGGGGTTCGATTACAGCACACATCTCTGTCGCCGACGACGTCCTGGTGGAGGCAACTCGTTGAGGTCCGACATTATATTTTACATAAAGACTCTACGCAGGAATGTGTGCAGAGTATACCGCTCCGAAGCGTCTGCCAATAATTCTTTTCTGCACTTCGATATTCGAAAAAAAATGTCATTCTTCTCATCCACCTCGAGCAACCTTCCAATTAGTTTGCTTTCAATGGAAAAACAGACCGGAAGGTTCACAAACGCCTCAAGACCGCGTTGTGTTATTGCTCTGACAGCCTTCATAAGTTTGTGAGAAGCGTCATTCGAGGGCCACTCTTCCACACCTCCAATCATCCCATAATGTACAGCATTTGAGGCATCGATACCTGCCAGGATGTCCTTGATTTCCTCCACGCGGTCCTTATACTCATTGAATTGAAAGATGCATCGTGGAATCGGTCCGACGTCATGCATGTGCATGTGCATCCTTCTCCAATACTCCGCCTGCTCCGTCCATGCTTTCAGGTTATCTTCGTGCGGAGACGACAACGTAATGATGCCCCACTCAGGGGAGGGCACAACATCATTAGATGGCTCTCCAAAATGTATTGCCATATCGATGATGATATACCCCTTCATTCCACTCCCAGCCAAATTTATCATAGCCCTTCCAATATTACTCTCACCCACGTATATTGTCACCGTTCGTGTCCTCTTGTCAAACAAGTATGCAAAATCCCTTCCAAAGCAGTACACAACCACATGGAGCTTCGTGGCGTCGTAGTGCAGCAGCTGATAAAGGAGGTAGGAGTCAGCCGCCATTGACTTCCCTACCTGGGGGTTCCAATCAAAAGATGACGTCTCATTTTAGGTGCGTCTGTATCTGGAGGGGGAAACACTCCTTTTAGATCACCCTCGACGATCTTCCACACCCGATGCACCTCAATGTTAATGCAGCAGTCGGCAATAGGCACTGCATGCTCCAGCGAGTACGGCCATCGCTTTTCAGAGGAAAGGATCATGAGTCGTGGGCGTGGTGGACGGAAATGCTCCTCATCACCCACTGAGAAAAAAGTACGCACAGTCTGCGTGTACTCCCATAACTCTTGTGGCCGTTGGCCCTCTATCACCACCATGTCTTCCCCTTCGCCCTCGGGAAATCCCACGACGTGACCCCACGTTGCGTCAAATACGGATTCGTAGAGTCCCTCCAGCCTCGGTCGTCTGCCCCTTTCCTCCCCTTTGTGCTCTCTTCCTTCCACTCTTCGGAGCTGTGCGAAGGGCCCATCCGAGTCGCCAGACAGCCCCGATCCGGGCACGACGTCCTCCTCCCTGCAACACATTAGTTGCCGGGGGCTCCTCGGCGGCGTGAAATTCTTCCTCGCGTCTCTCAGACATGTTTTCCTTCATAGTGGTTAACTCGAGTTGAACTGCAGCACAATACTCAACCAGCAGTCAAAAGGGAGAATGAAATTATGTAAAAAAAAAACGGGCAGAGACACGACCCCACACAGCCGCAACAACAAAAAAGAGAGAGAGAGGGTCACCCACACACAGTACGCGGCGCACACCTCACACACAAACACGCACAGGCACCCCCAATCCCGCACACAACGCAAGCGTGATGCATCACGGCACCCTCCCACACAAACAACGAGGGCAAATTAGATCTCCCTAGGCAAACCGTGCAAATTGCGCGGCACACACAACAACTGCGACGAGGCTTCTATTTTCTTCTCGTATTGCACTTGACATTCGGATCCCCACAGCTCTGTGTGTGCGTAGTCACACGCAAATATCACCCACTCACAGTGAAATTGACTGCCTCGTCGCAGTGGCATTTTGCGCCGCAATTCGCTGAGGTGCAAAGAGGCAGAACACCCGCCGCCTGTTCACCCGTGAAAAGAAGGAGGGACGCTGCCGCATTGTCCCCCGCGACGCAAATATACGCTGCGCCCAGCACGTGATGCGGTGTGCACGTGAATTCCGCGATGTAAACTGTTTGCCACACGACTGGGCCGCACGGGGCGCAGCCTGAGAGGGCAGCCGCAGACGTTTCCGCCTTCTTCAGTCGTCGTGGCGGTGCCGCCGCGTGGAAAGGTGGAGACCCGGCAGAAATGCGGCAGCATATTCCCCGCTGCAAGAGCACAATCGGCAGCCCCACTCT